GTCAATCTGGATATGTTTACTGCGGGCATGCTGAACAGGATTTGCAGTCAAATAAGAAGCAGAGATATTATCACACAATAAATGTACCGACTCCGTGATTGGCCATCCAAGCTCGTACAATATCGACCGGATATGTAGTGTGTCCTGTACTATGTAAGCAATGGCACGATATTCTGCTTCTGTGGAGGACTTCGACACGGTAGGTTGCTTATTAGTCTTCCACGAAACCAAATTCGGACCCAAGAAGACAGCAAAGCCTGTGGTGGACCGAGAACTATCAGGACAACCTGCCCAATCAGCATCGGAGTAAGCAACTACACAGGTTGGCCGATTAGACTGCTGAAGCCATAGCCCATGATCTCGTGTGTCCTGCAAGTACCTAAAAATTCTTTTGACTGCAAAAAGATGAGTGGTACGAGGAGCATGCATGAACTGAGACACTAAGTGTACTGCATAAGTAATATCTGGCCGTGTCAAAGTTAAATATTGTAATGCACCAACCATGTTGCGATACTGAGTAGAATCAGACAGCAACTCACCATCAGACAGAGACAAAGTGGTACGAGAAGCTAACGGGGTGCGAATAGGCTTTACGGTATGGAGATGAAAACGGGCTAGAAGATCAGTAACATATTTATGTTGAGAGAGAAACATATCTTTAGGTGAACGAATAGCATCAACACCCAGAAAATAATGGAGATTACCCAAGTCTTTCATTGCAAAATGATTAGAGATAATCGAAATAAACTGGGTAACAGATGACTCAGAATTGCCAGTAATAATAATATCATCCACATATAATAATAAATAAATAATGGTATTATTCTGGCAGTAAATGAACAAAGAATTGTCAGATTTACTATAGGAGAAATGATGTTGCAGAAAGAAGCTACTGAATCTATGAAACCAGGTCCGTGGAGCTTGCTTAAGGCCATAAATGGCCTTACGCAGATGACATATATGATTAGGAAATTGAGGGTGAATAAAACCACGGGGCTGACGCATATAAACTTCTTCTATCAGATGACCATGTAAGAAGACATTTTTAACATCAAGTTGCCGTATAACCCACCCAAAAGAAATAGCAAGAGTAAGTACAATACGAAGAGTGGTGGGTTTGACGACCGGACTAAAAGTTTCAAGGAAATCAATACCTGCATGCTGATTAAACCCCTGTGCAACTAATCGAGCTTTATGGCGCTCTAATGATCCACCAGAATGATATTTAGTTTTATAAATCCACTTACACCCAACAATATTCTTAGAGCTATCAAATGGCACCAACTCCCAAGTTTTATTATTAATGAGTGCATTAAATTCATCAGTCATCGCCTCACGCCATTTTAAATGTTTATTTGCCTCAGTAAAATAGGTAGGATCTGCATGAGTAATAACCGTACTTAAATTAAAAATTGATTTGGGCTTAAAAATTCCTGACTTAGCACGGGTTTGCATGGGGTGCTTATTAACTACCGTAGTGGACCTAGGTGAGGTGGGGTCGGGTGGTACACAGTCGGCCGAGGAGGTGATATCCTGCAGGCTAGTCGGAGTGTGGCTGACGGAGACTGGAGGTGAGGGTGGCGGGTTGTTGGTTGACGCGGGGAAGTTTGTATAAGACGATGGTTCAGAAGGAGTGATAGGACTAATAGGGGGCCGAGAAGGGGATGAGAACCGTGGTGGGAGTTGGTTCATGGTGATGATAGGGGGCTAGGCTGGTGGGTTAAGTGTTACATCAGTTAGCTTCATCGAAGATGGTGTAGTTGTTAGTATATATGTCATAGCGACAATCACTTTTTAGAGATATATGTACTTGATCACATTCAGTTTTTTATATTTGATATATACACGGTATTACACTTTATGAATGATTGTTTTCGATTGTCAATGTTTTATTCATAATTGTGTTCCCTTGGATTTATGTTGTCAATAAGTAAGTGAGAGCTTATATGATATAACATAAGGTCCTAAAATAGCTCCAATCAATGATCATCAAGAATGGGATATTGATAATATGCGATAAGATTGGTATGTGGACTGCATCATACTTTTAGAAAGTATAGTTGATCTCACAACTATGAGTTCCTGTAATTCATGATGGTCACATAGATATTTTAGAGAATATTGGCATACCCACCGAGAAACCATTTGATAAGTTCTATTCATGTGCCTATGGGATTATCAGCGTATAGAGTAGTGTAATAGTCCTCCGACTTGAGGTCAATACGTACTACATGTGCGGAGTGATGTACTTTGACCATGACCAACGCTTGCACTCCAATCGGGGTAGATACGGCATGTGTTGGGTGCATCACGAAGCACATTGAGTAATAGTTGAGCCAAGAAAGGATTCATTCCTCGTAATAGATTAAGAGAGAACATTCTACTTCCCATATCTAGATGGATCATAAAGTCATTGGCCAATGCAAAGATATATTCGTTTTGGATAACGAATACGATCGTTATGGATCATCTAGAAAGATTGAGAGACAGAGACTAAGTTATTGGAATAGACACAATATCATGTTCTAGACTTAGTTGAATGTTCATTGAATGAAAGGACCGTATCACTATGAGCTCTATATTATAGGGAGTTTGAATAGTCCTCGCAAACGTCCTTATATATTAGGATTGTCTGGTAAATCGTCTAGGGATTCTGCTAAGACCTTAATTTGATTAGTGCTTAATATATAAGGCCCTATGGGTCACACAACAAGTGATTATACCTTTCGATTGAATTGTTAGAAGGAGTTAAATATTATTAATTGGATTAAATAATATTTAATTCGTATTACTGAAAATGGATTAAATATTAATTAGATTCATATATTTATTTCATTGTGTTGAAGGAAAGTTCTATTTGATAGAATTAATTAAGTATGATAAATTTGATTTATCATACTTAATTAAGATGTATTTATAATTAAATAAAGTTGGGATTTTATTGGGTACAATTTAGAATAAAAGTCTATTCAATAATAAAATATAAATAAAATAATAAAATAAGCATTAAGAGAGAATGAGTGGCAGCAGCCCCATTCCTCTTTATTGTGTAATTTATTATTATTATTATTATTATTATTATTATTATTATTATTATACCTTTACTTAATTAATAAGGAGTATTGGTTCTCGTAGGACTAGAACTCATTAATGAGCAAGACTTTCATTGTGATTGGGAAACTAGTTTAGAACTAGTATAAATACATCCTCCTCCTTCATAATTATGTGACCAACTTTAAGATTCAGTATTACGAGTTTATTTCCCTGCGAAGAGATTTCCTAGCCTTTCTCTTAGGGAGATCTAATCGTTCTTTCGGAAAGGAGAAATCACGTGGATACCAAAGGTCAAGGATTATCACCGCTAGGCTGGAAGATCTGTAAGTTCTAACTCAGATCTGTTATTATTATCATATTCGTTATTTTGTCCTAATAAAGGAAGATCTGTTTGGGAAAATTTTAAACTTCCGCTGCTGTACTTTCGAGGTACGTTACATCAATTTCCCAACAGTGGTATCAGAGCCAAACTGATTTTAATGACATTATACGAATTTGTGACAAAAGTTTCGTAGGTTTGGGAACTATATTTTTCAGAAAATATGTTTTTGCCAAATCTGGATATTCAAAATTAGTTTTGTTTAGATCAGAAAGTAGAAGAAAATTGAGATAGTGGTGTCGTAATGTATCAAGGAGCTATTATTTCTTTCTGTGCTTTCATTTTTCGATCTGCAACGTGACGCTCTAAGAAGACTAGGTCACCGAATTAACATGCTAAGTGGGCACTGAAGATGATGGGGATTTATTAGGCTGTTGATGTTGAAGGAACACAGTCTCTCAAAAATTACATCATCTGCTTTTTAGATGTTTATTTTTATTTTTCGAAATTGAAAAAAATATTTTTTTTGGGGGGGAGGGGGGTTGGAATCTGAAATTGAGCGATTTGCAACGATGAAGACATTCGCAAGCAGCTTAACCTCTTCTGGTAAACGTGTGAAGGATCCGAGGGGCTTGGGACTGCCGCATCCGAAGATCCTTTTATCGTTCCCCTGTTCTGGGAACTTCTTTGTAGTCCGGCTCTTTGAGAAATATAAGCGACTCTAAGAGTCTAGTGGTACCATATTTGCTTTTGCCATTATTTAAAACAAAGACTTGAGAGTTATAAAAATCTTGTCCTGTTTTTATTTACTTCGTACCAAACACCATTTTTGTTCGGTGTTATTTTAAACATGAAAGATTTAAATTTACAAGTATTAAAATTATCCTTGTTTTAATTAGATTATTTATCTTTGAGTTTTGGAAGGATTAAAATTAATTTGACCGATTATTGTATTTAGCATGCTGTTACTTTAAATGTTTGACTATTGTATTATTTTATTAATTAGATTAATATGCATGCTCGAATTTATTTGTTATGAGTTAGATCTCGTTAACATATTATTTGATAATATATTTTAGCATCTTGTTTAAATAATTTAATACCCTGCTAAATGTTCCTCATAGATTAAAATTTAAGTCTTATTTGGGATAGCGACATCACCCATTATAATTAAATTAGTAGAAATATTTTTTAGTTGAAGAATATTTCACCCAAGTGTTTATTCCATTCGACAAAATATAGAACTAATTTATAGATACATATGTTTGTGATCGTGTGATGGTTTTGACTTACCTAAATTAGCTCGAGTCGCCCAAGCGTCAGTGTTAATTTAGGGATGTCGATCAATTAAAAATTGATCAACCAAGAATTGCTTGGACGCAATTGGTCTAGGGACCTACCCATTATATTATTGCAGTGATCAGCCCAAGCTGGGACTGTAATAGTATGAATGTGGATCTTGGCCACTATGATTGTGAAAACAATGCATATTCTTTTTATTGGGGTCAAAGAGAATGCAAAATAGTGGGAGCTAAATAATTAAAAGTCCAAATTATTAAGTTTACTAAATGTGATCTTAGGAATTATTTTATGAATTTTAATTCACGTTCTATTTGAACTTCTTTAGGCTTTTAGGAATGTCGAATTTATCATTGAGAAGTATCTTGGATACATGCAAGCTTACTGGACCAAACTTTCTGGACTGGGAAAGAAATGTGCGTTTAGTTCTTAGACAAGAATATTGAGTATGTGTTAGACACACCGATACCCAAGATTCCTGATGCCAACTCTCTTGAGTTTGCCACGTTTGACCTGATTGCTCGAGAGAAACACGTCACTGATGCTAAAACTGTGCAATGTGTTATGTTGGTTGCAATGTCTATGGAGTTGCAAAGGCAACACGATAGGATGAGCGCCTTCGAGATGCTTGACCACTTGAAGAGTCTGTTTGATTCGGAAAGTCAGACTCTAGAGTATGAACTTCTGGCAGACATTTTCAAGTGTAGGCTTCAAGAGGGTGGCAACGTGTCTGAGCACGTCCTCAAAATGATTGGCTTAATTGAAAGAGTTGCTACCACCGGAATTAAGTTTGAGGATCGTGTCTCAGCTGCTATCATCCTATATTCGCTTCCGAGTTCATTTACTAACTTCATTGTGAATTGTAATTTGAACAAAACGAAAGCGACCATGCCTGAACTCCATAACATGTTCAAGTCTTATGAAGCCTCAACCTCTAAAGGAAAGATTGTTCTTATGGTAAGCTCTAATGCTAAGTCTCGTTCTAAGAACAAGAATAAGCAAAAGAAGAAAGGTAAGGTTGGACCAACTCCTACAGCTCTGAAGCTTAAAGGTGGAGGTCATATGAAGCCAAAGGTTGCAAAGGATGTTTGCCTCTACTGCAAAGAGAAGGGACATTGGAAGAGAGATTGTGAGCTGTATAAGGCTAATCTAGCCAAAGCACCGGGTGCTTCGAGCTCGGGTATTTTTATCATTAAATAAATATGTCTATAACTAACTCTCATTGTTATAGTATTAGATACAACTTATGACTTACACATTTGCAAAAATGTGCAGAAGCTTGAGAAGCAGTGTAGGAGTTGGACTGGGTAAATTTGACCTACGCGTGAAGGCTGGAGCAAAAGTTGTTGCTAAACGTGATAAGATCTTATAGTTTAGATTTGCCCAGTGGTTTTATATTAGAATTAAATAATTGTTATTTTATTCCTTCTATTACCAAGAAGATTATTTCCATTCATATGTTAGACATTAAAAGATTTCTATTTCCATTTTGCTAATAATAATTGTTATTTTCGTAAAATGGTGTTGTTGTGGAAATGCTTTTCTTATGAATGGTTAATTATCAATCGACATAATAGATATTAAATGAATAAAATAAAAGGATCTCGATTAAGTAATCAGAAAAATTACTACCTAGCTATGACATTGCAAACTTGGTCAAATTAATGAAACAAGAATAACAACGTTAAATAAATTAGATTATTTAACACCGTTTGCTTTTGAGTCATATGGAAATTGTGAATCTTGTCTTTCAAGCAACTTGACTAATAAACCTTTTCTAGGAAAAAGGATAGCAAGCCAAAGAGTACTTAAGTAAAATTTCTGATTTATTTAAAAGGTCAAAGAATTCGGTCATAATGAACTCCTCCAGAACACCTTAGAAGTCTGGCGTTTCTGCAAGGAGAAATAGGGCTTTGTTAGACATAGCTGGATCTATGATGAATTCATTTTCTCTTCCAAACATTCTTTTGAGGGTACACGCTATAAATCTCAATATACATTCTGAATAGTTTCATTAGTGCAAAACATACTATATGAGTTATAGTATAATAAAAGACATTTTCTTCACATATTAAATATGGGTTGCCCTACATATGTAATGAAATGTGCATTAATCAAATTGAAAGCTGAAGTAACATAGAGAATGAAGATTCGTTAGATGGTTTGACGAAGGATTCAGTGGGAGAATTAAGTTGAAGAATGTCTCTAGGAGGATATCCTCCTGCTAGTGGGAGTAATATAGGAAGCGCTTCACACCAGCAAATGATTCTTATGAAGAAAGTAATGGCATGGTTGTCATCCCTTCTGCACCTAATTCTCCCTCTCTGAGTATAACACCAGAAAACTCTCTGAGCATTGGATAGTCCAATGAAAGAGAACCTCTTCACGATCAGAATGAAAAGCCTGAACAAAATTCAAAACTTCAACTCTGTGGGTCTACTAGGATTCTCCATGAACTAACTAGGTTTGACTTCCTCATGGAGGATCATGATGATGTTGAGATTCCTGATAAGGATGAACCTAAGACCTACACTAAAGCAATATTAGATGTTGATTTAAAGAGGTGGCGAGATGCCATGAAATCTAAAATGGACTTGATATATATCAATCAAGTATGGAACTTGGTTGACTTGCCTGTTGGGTTAGACCCATTGGATGCAAATGATTTTCAAGAAGAAAATTAATGTTGAAGGCAGGGTGTAAACATACAAAGCTAGGTTAGTGGCTAAAGGTTATAGTCAAATTAAAAGGAATTGACTATAGTGATACATGTTTGCCAGTTGCAAAACTGAAGTCCATTCAGATTTTGCTTGTGATAGCTGCATACTATGATTATGAGTTTTGACAAATGGATGTCAAAATCCATTTCCTTAATGGAAACCTCAAGGAGGAGGTGTACATGGTACAACCTGAAGGTTTTTGCATCCAAGTCAAATTCTAAATCACTATGTTAATTAGAGAAATCTATTTATGGGCTACAACAAGTCTCTAGGAGTTGAAATATTAATTTTGATGAAACAGTCAAATCGTTTGACCTCATCAAATGAAATGAGAGAGCTTACGTTTTTAGAGTGCGCAACAAGGATAGCGTGGTCTTTATAATCATATATGTTGATCATAGAGAATGATATCCCCTCATTGAAGTCCGTGAAAGAATGGTCACCCAAAATCTTCATGAATATCTTTTTGTCTATGTAGACAAAAAGAACTAGTAGAATTTAATTATTTTAGCACTAGTTTCATGAATGATAAGAAAGACTACGAGTCACAGTCAGTATATTTTTTAGTCTCAATGTAATACTAATGCTGCAAGAGTTGCAAGTAAGAAACTATTGTAAATTCGACAACTAGAGCCTAGTAAATTGTTGCATTTGATGCAACATAGGTAAGGGTTTAGATACGTTAGTTCCTTAAAGAAATAGGGGTAGTTCCTAGCGATAGTTATCCAATAATTGTTATTGTGACTGTACCGGTGCATTTGCATAAACTAAGGAACCAAGATGCAAAGTAAAGAACTAGAAAATACCAGTATGCTATCATGTTTTGATAACAAATAGCAAGATGAGAAGTTGTAATAGAATGCCTTCCCGTAGAGGACAATTTGGCAGGCTCATTCACCAAACCTTTGAGATGCGAGAAACATTGTAGGCTTTTGACAGTCTAGGTGTTAGACGCATCGGTGATTGACACTAGGCCAAGTGGGAGATTGTTAGTATATATGTCCTAGCTACAATCACTTTTTAGAGATATATGTACTTGATCACATTCAGTTTTTTATATTTGATATATACACGATATTACACTTTATGAATGATTGTTTTCGATTGTCAATGTTTTATTCATAATTGTGTTCCCTTGGATTTATGTTGTCAATAAGTAAGTGGGAGCTTATATGATATAACATAAGGTCCTAAAATAGCCCCAATCAATGATCATCAAGAATGGGATATTGATGATATGCGATAAGATTGGTATGTGAACTGCATCATACTTTTAGAAAGTATGGTTGATCTCACAACTATGAGTTCCTGTAATTCATGATGGTCACATAGAGATATTTTAGAGAATATTGGCATACCCACCGAGAAACCATTTGATAAGTTCTATTCATGTGTCTATGGGATTATCGGCGTATAGAGTAGTGTAATAGTCATCCGACTTGAGGTCAATACGCACTACATGTGCGGAGTGATGTACTTTGACCATGACCTACGCTTGCACTCCAATCGGGGTAGATACGGCATGTGTTGGGTGCATCACGAAGCACATGGAGTAGTAGTTGAGCCAAGAAAGGATTCATTCCTCGTAATAGATTAAGAGAGAACATTCTACTTCTCATATCTAGATGGATCATAAAGTCATTGGCCAATGCAAAGATATATTCATTTTGGATAACTAATATGATCATTATGGATCATCTAGAAAGATTGAGAGACAGAGACTAAGTTATTGGAATAGACACAATATCATGTTCTAGACTTAGTTGAATGTTCGTTGAATGAAAGGACCGTATCACTATGAGCTCTATATTACAGGGAGTTTAAATAGTCCTCGCAAACGTCCTTATATATTAGGATTGTCTGGTAAATCGTCTAGGGATTCTGCTAAGACCTTAATTTGATTAGTGCTTAATATATAAGGCCCTATGGGTCACACAACAAGTGATTATACCTTTCGATTGAATTGTTAGAAGGAGTTAAATATTATTAATTGGATTAAATACTATTTAATTCGTATTACTGAAAATGGATTAAATATTAATTAGATTCATATATTTGATTCATTGTGTTGAAGGAAAGTTCTATTTGATAGAATTAATTAAGTATGATAAATTAGATTTATTATACTTAATTAAGATGTATTTATAATTAAATAAAGTTGGGATTTTATTGGGTACAATTTAAAATAAAAGTGTATTCAATAATAAAATATAAATAAAATAATAAAATAAGCATTAAGAGAGAATGAGTGGCGGCAGCCCCATTCCTCTTTATTGTGTAATTTATTACTATTATCATTATACCTTTACTTAATTAATAAGGAGTATTGGTTCTCGTAGGACTAGAACTCATTAATGAGCAAGACTTTCATTGTGATTAGGAAACTAGTTTAGAACTAGTATAAATACATCCTCCTCCTTCATAATTATGTGACCAGTTTTAAGATTCAGTATTACCAGTTTATTTCCCTGCGAAGAGATTTCCTAGCCTTTCTCTTAGGGAGATCTAACCGTTCTTTCGGAAAGGAGAAATCACGTGGATACCAAAGGTCAATGATTATCACCGCTAGGCTGGAAGATCTGTAAGTTCTAACTCAGATATGTTATTATTATCATAATCGTTATTTTGTCATAATCAGGGAAGATCTATTTGGGAAAATTGTAAACTTCCGCTGCTGTACTTTCGAGGTACGTTACATCAATTTCCTAACAGTAGTGTGGATAGAATGTGTTGGACCAGGTGATAGTGTTTTAAAGGGATATGTGTCCTCATGAAACCTAACGTGACGACTAATATAGACGCGACCTATGATAGGATCAAAACAACGATAGCCCTTATAACCAGATGCATAGCCAAGAAAAACACACTGAACAGAACGAGGTGATAATTTATTAGCTGAGGTGGCCGAAAAATTCGGATAGCAGGCAGATCCGATAACTCGCATAAAGGAGTAATCCGGAACACGGTTAAAAAGCTTTTGGTACGGAGAAAAACCATTTAAGGTAGGAGAGGGTAATCTATTAATAATATATGCAGCAGTAAAAATTGCATCAACCCAATATTGACTCGGAACCTAAGCTTCAAGAAGCATGGCCCGAGTTAATTCAAGTAAATGACGATGTTTGCGCTTAGCAACCCCATTTTGTTGAGGTGTGTGAGGACATGATTTTCGAAAATATATACCATTAGCCAAGAAATATTGCTGCATATTATGATTAACAAATTCACCCCCTCCATCACTTTGAAAAATTTTAATTTTATGATTAACAAGATTTTCAACCAAAGCATTAAATTTTTTAAAGTGCATAAAAACCTCACTTTTGTGATGCATGGGATAAATCCAAGTATATCGGGAAAAATCATCAATAAAACATACATAATACTTGAATCCCATATTGGAAAATACAGGAGATTGCCACACATCGAAATGAATAATTTCTAAAGGGAAAATTGAATTATGACTAGCATCCATAAAAGGAAAACGTTGTGATTTTCCTAAGCCACAAGCCACACACTCATGAGTAAAAGGAGAATGGCTACATAGAAATTGTTTCTCTTAAGAAACTGTAAAATACTATCACCGCAGTGACCTAATCTACGATGTCACACAGGGCCATACATAGAGTGGCCCACTACGGGTAGCTCGTAGAAGTACTGCCCCTGATGCTTTGTCCTTAATCAAAAAGAAATTTTTATAAAAAATTACAGTACAATTATTATCAGCGCAGAGCCTCTGAATTGAAATTAAATTATATTTTAACTCAGGCACATGATAGACATATTTTAACATGAGAGGACGACCAGAAGTAGGTAATGCAACATCACCAACATGACTAATGGGGAGATAGGCACCATTTGCAACACTAACAGAATTATGTCCGGTGTAGGGAGATTTATTAACTAAATTACCTTCAGTTGCAGTCATGTGAGCAGAAGCCCCCGAATCCAGAAACCATAAAGTAGGATTAGCTTCACCAGGAGTAGTCAACAGAGCAGGGGCGGATGGTTGTGTGAAACGGGAGGGACAGGTAACAGCAGAATGAGCTGCAGAGAAACATATTTGACAGACAACAGGATGGGGAATAGATCCAAGAATACCACCGTCTAATGGCAAGCCTGCAGAACTAAGGTTAGTAACACAAACAGGTAATGCATTAATATTTAAATGTGACATAGCAGAATTACAAATAACAGTACCTGTAGATGTCACAACCCCTGCATGTGGACCACCCCCTCCAGGGTTATAAGCTAACTGTCCCTGAGGATACCAGTATGCTGGCGGCTGACCATACTGGACTGGGTACTGCCCTCTGCCACGCCCCCTTCCACCGCGGCCCCTGCCGCGCTGCTGAGAGCCTTGTTGTCTGTTTTGCCTGATCGGGTGGTGTGAGCCCGAATGCTGCTGGCCCGCCTGCTGACCAGTGGGCTGCTCGGGTAAAGTGACAGCGATGCCAAAGGCCTGATGGAGGGATGAGGACTCTTGGGAGCGTAGATAAATAACCCGTTGTTCTAGCTCAAGAAGATGATTACGAAGATTTCAAACGGGAAGTTTTGTCCAAATAAGGAAACAACGGTGAATAATGATTCATACTCATGTCCCAATCCCATAATAGTAGTCTTTAGAATGTCACGAGGAGGCACGGGGCAATTTATTGTGGCAAGATCATCAGTTAATGTTTTAATTTCTCTCAGATAATTATCCATGGACTGATCAGGTTTCTTTTTGATTTGATTACATAACCTTTTTGATTCCATAGATCTAGCTAAACTGGCTGACATAAATCGAGATTCCAACCGCTCCCAAATCTCATAGGAATGTTTTTAATCACGAACATCAATAAGAACATCCCTAGATAGGGTTGCTAATAACCAAGAACGAATTGTTTGATCAATTCGCAACCAAGTAGAAAATTCCGGATTGGGAGTTTGACGGTTAAGAGCATCTATGGAATAAGTAGGTGGTACCTGAATTGAGCCATCAACCATGCCAAGAAGAGCTTGGGAAACCAGAAACGATTCGAACTGTGTCTGCCAGGTAGTGTAGCCTTCCACCGCTAACAGTTTGGTAGTCACAATATTTGTGACATTAGTTGCCACATGAGAGATGGTTTGGGCAAGTTCCATGAGTAGAGTCCCGGCCGGGCTGGCTGGTGGTGTGCGAGATGGGACCATGACTGTGGAGACACCAGGTGAGCCAACGAACGCGGGGCCCACAAAGGTAGGGCCGGCTGAGAAGGGGGGCGGCTCTAGAGGGACCGGCTGCACAGGGATGGGAGCCGATCACGGGAACACTGGTGGAGCATTCTAAAAGAGAGAGAGTATGGCATAGAGACCCGACTTGGTGAAGCAAAGTTGGAGGAGAACGTCACACTAGACGAGATTGACGTTGGTGCCAGCAGCGATCCAAAAGAGGAAGGAGTGCCGGTGGTGATGACGGTTGCGACTGCTGCTGTGGAGATGGGCTGGACCGAGACGGTTGCCATCATGCTGATCGGTGCGGAAGTTGTCGTCGACATCGGGCAGAAGCTGGCGGCGTCGAGCGGAAGCAGGCTGCGGTCGAAGAGCAATAGGCGGCGGTTGTAGGGTTTGCTCACGACGCCGTGTGTAGAGAGAGGATCGGAAAAAAATTAATGTGCTCTGGATACCATGTGAGAATAATGGAAAAGGTTACTCCCTAAGGAGCCTTGGCAGATATACTTTGTTGGTCCCGTTTATAATGGGAACAGTCTAGAGGGGGGGTGAATAGACTGTTCCGGATTTTTCAAACTTTTCTCTGAGTCAACACTGACTTATCAGAGATGGTCTGATTCTAGTGACAGAGAAGGTCAAGTTCTGATGGCAGAACCAGACCTGGCAGCGGATAAAGTTCTGTCCGGGTAGCCTCAGGAAAACACTAAGGCAAATGCCTTTCTGATAACTCTTAGAAGAAGATCTGCTGAACACAGAGTCCATGTTCTTGGGAGATATACAGTTAAAGTCTTAAGTGCAGAAGTAAATGCGTAAAGTAAATGACACCGGGTTTTTTATATTGGTTCAAGGAACAACGAGTTCCTCTAGTTCACTGTTCCACTAAGCTTGCAAAAACAACAATTTACAACGCCTTAGTCCCTAGAGCTTAAGAAGCACTCCTCGTCTTCTTCAAGCCTAGTTGCCACCCGGGATGCAGTCCTGCTTCATGATGGCTGGTCTTGTTTCACTGAGTCTCTTGGAAGTATCCCCACTTCACTTACTCCAGTTAGTTTGAGACGTCCCTTCTTTTTCAAGAAGTGTTTCATTCAATATCAGTTTTCTCCAACTTGGCTTCTTCACAAAGGATGTGTAAATGAGGCTTTTGAAGCGTTAAAGAACTGGAGGAACTTTGCTATTGTAGGAAGATGTTTATGAAGTTGATATCTTTCCTATAGTAGGCTTTCCTTGTCGAAGATGATGAAGTTGTAATCTCAGAAAAGCTTGAAGTGTGTTTTAAGATTGTAGCAAAAGTTATCCTGGTAGTTCTTCGAAGTGTATCTTATATACTAGGAGCGGTCTTCCCGTTGGAGTGTAGAAGACAACTTCATTAAATGCTTGTACTGTTGATTTGACCGGTTGGTTCTTCGACTTGCTATTTTGGGGGCGAAAGGATATCCGCATGGTCAATCATCAGCTTTAAATATTTCTTCGTACGTACAACATTAATTGAGCATTTAATGCGTGTACAGTACCATGTTCCGTCGAATGGCTCCTAGCTGTTAGGGAATTTCCCGTTAGTTTCACGGTCGTTGGAATGTGCCTTCGAATTCTGCTAAGTAAGAGCAAGTCTGATGCGGCTCTCTGGTTCAAACTCTGATGACCGCCTCTGATGCCAAATCTGGTACCCAAATTTGGTAGCTTCTCTGATGAGCAATTCTGGGAGCAACTCTGATCAGAAAGATAAAGAGGATCTCTGGCCAGTCGACTATGCTAATACTTACAAAGGAAAATTTCTAATACAAAATTGCTAATGGGGTACTTTAAAATTCTAATTAACCAAGCATCATCAAAATCTAAATACATTTATTCCTTACAATTTCCCCTTTTTTGATGACGCCAAAACCCTTAAACTATTTCCAGAGAAGTGCTTTTCACCATAAACAAAAAAAAAACTTTCATTAAAATTCTTGGTGGGCAACTTAGCATAGGAAAATAGTAAGAGTAAGATACATTCAAGATAGCATATAAAGAATAAAGTATCAGAGCACAAATTAAACATAAATGCAGAAAGCAATAAAGAACAGAAATCTGAAGTTGCCATGCAGATTAGAGACAGAGATGATATCTTATTATTAGAGAGTACAGATACAAGATATAGAAGAATTAAGATTCATCTTCATCTACATGTGGTCCTGCATCATCAATTCTCTTGAGTTCTGCGTTGATTTTGGCTCTGATTGAGGCTAGATTCCTCGGACTCTGGTATTCTGACCAGTGGGGCTCAAGTTTGCAATCCAGGTAATCCCTTACAACTTCTGAAATATTTTTGCCCGGAATGACCTTCATTTGCCACCAGACTTCAGCTTCTTGGATGGATCCACCATGATTGATCTGCTCAAACTGAGAAGTTGGAAGCTTTCTTCTTGGAGCCTTTGGGAGGTGGAGGTGGGTGCCTGAGAGTTCCAGCTGCAAGCTTCTTCTTCTTAGCAGCCGCAAAGTAGGGAGCATGATCAACAGAGGTTGGGTTTCTGACAGTCAGAATTCAAGAACTTGGACCTTCTGCATTTCTGATGTCTTCTTCTCTGGTCTCTTCCCCCTTTTTGGCATCAACAAGATCGCCAAAGAGGAGCTCTAGTTTGGAAAACTCTGAAGCCTGAGCATCTCTGATTTTTTCAAGAGCTTTAGGCAGAGTTTGGGTAACAGAGGCCAGTCCTTCAATCAGACTCTGTTGCTTGTCTACAGAAGATTGAGTAGTTTGCCTTTATGATCATTGTATCAATGAGTATCAGCTTCTGGTATCGCTCCTTGTCATTCTTGAGGAGATGGGAGGCTTTCTCTTTATGATCATTGCAGAGACTTTGTATCTCCATGAATCTTTCTGATGACTGATCAGCATACCATTGCAGAGTATCAATGGATTCAGAAATTTTCTTGAGTTTCTCATTCTGTTTGTTGAGAGTCTGAGAGTGGGAGAAAAGAACAACATTGACACCATCCACTTCCCTAGAGACTGCATCAACTTTGGCATTTGACGAAGCCATGAATGTAACCAGATTCTCTGTTAGAGTTGCAACCTTTTCTGAAATCTGTTGCAGTCCAAATTCAAGATTAATGTTGGTGTGGGTGAGATGCTCATAATGCTTGTCGTTGATTATAATGAGTTTATTCACGTTATCAAGCATCTGGCCACCAAACTCTTCTGCAGATGCAACAAATTGGTTGAAAGTAATCTGAGGCTCTGCTGGTGTAAACCCTGGCATCTCCAACCCTTTACCCTTAGGTAGTGGAGGGTTTCTGCCGGTGGGCTGAGGAGATTGGTCTCTTGGAGGTGTTCTTCTCCTCTTGGATGTAAGATCAGCAACAAGTGAGGATGGGAGAAATCCATCATTATCAGCATCTGAAGAAAGAATTCTGATAGGAATCCCCTTCTTTGGCTTAGAGGCCACAGAGTGTTGAGAGGACCTCTGTGGTGTAGCAGCTCTGGAGTTTGACTTCGTTTTCTTATGAGGAGGAGTGGCAGATTTGGTTTTCTGATGTGAGGTTTTCTGATGCGGTGAGCTCTGGTGAGTGGGTTTCTGTGGAGGGGAGCTCTGATGTTGAGGAGATGGAGGAGGTGAAGGTGTGCGGTTCCTGGAAGGAGTGTGTTGTTTGCAAGGAGAGGGGGATTTTGATTTTTGTGGAGTATGAACAGGTGAAGGGGTTTTCTGTTCCGGTGGGGATCTCTGTTTGGGAGAAGGGGTTTTCTGGTGATGTGGTAGAGTAGATGATGGTACTTTGGGAGAGGGAGGAGGGAGTTCTGTGGAGTTATGAACAGAGGAGGAGTTAGGGATTACCTCCATGACCGTTTCCTCGAACTATGAGTCTGTCCATTCTCTGATCAGCTTCTTCATGGCCAATGATAGATCATTAGCTGTTGATGGTTCTCCTTCTCCATGAGCGCTTGGACAAAATTTAATCAAGGATTCCTTCCTTTTCTCTTCTATCAGCCAAGCATCAAACTCAGCCATCTCATGTTCTTCCAAGGCTTTAACATGCTTTTCTGGTGAAGAGACTACCCGAATAGCCTTTCCTTTGAAGTTTGCCTTCTTTCTCTCTAAGACAGATGTCAGAAAGTTGAAATCAAAGCACTGGGACACATCATCAGTACCTGCCCAGTTAAGCACGGCTGCTTCTTCTTCCTCATAATGATCCAAGAATTGAATGATCTTGATGAGAGGACCCATTCTCCACTCTCTCCAGGCGAGTACCCTTTCAAACTGTTTGTCCAGGACAACGTTGTAATCAGTCATGATCTCCGTCTCTGGTGAAGCTTGGCATTCTGGTGTAGAGACATTGTTGGATAAGTTTGGTATAGAGGATGGTTGTACCTCTGATTCAGGTTCCCCCTGAATCTCTGATTTCTTAGAGGGAGTAAGAGCTTTCTTCTTCTTCTTCTTCTTGATTGGGTGGGGTCCAGAACCATCAGAGTCCTCACTCTGATTGGCTAACTTTCTTCTTCTCTTCAGCTTCTGCTTTTTGATAGGAGACTTCCTGGTTGGCTTAGGAGAGACCAACTCTGATGCAACCTCCTCTTGTGCATCCTTCTCCGGTATAGCCTTCATATCGTTTGTCTTCTTCTTTCTGTTTTCCCTTTCAATTCTAGTCTGCTCAGGTTGAGTAGAAGTCTCAATGGGCTTCTTGGTGGTCTTCTTGGGAACAGGTTTAGGCTTAGCAGCTTGTTGTTCTCTCTTTTTCTCAAGCCTTTCTTCTCTTTTAACTCAACAGCAACAACAATATTTAGCTTAGGAGAGGCAGTGAGAAATATTGATTTGGAGTGGTCAACTGGGGAGGGGTCCCTGAGTTGAACTCCTTGGGCAGTGAAGATTGCAGAGATAAGGAGACCATGACCCATCTTGGTTGAGAATAGGCCAATGTCTTTGTCCTTCTTTTTGATGAATTAAGTTAAAGAATCGAAAATTACCTCGCCCCAGTTGATGTTCATGTCATGATGAACTGAGAAGATTGCTTTGACATTGGCTTTATTCATCTCATCAGTTGAGCCAATTTTGCACCATAAGCACCTGTGCAGAATACTGATCAGTTTCTCGTAGTCCTTTTTCAGAAGAAACTTCTTCATGTACAGCTTCTCCAGACCGGCGGCCTCAGGGCGACAATAGGTTTTCACGAATCCTTCAACAGAGACATTTACAGACTCCAGGCCTATGAGAGTAGGTGTTTCCGGGTCTTGAGAATCCAGTTAGACACCGAAGAATTCGTTTAGAGCAGTTGCATTCAATGTGATGCTTTTTCCCTGCACTTGGGAGTGAACAACATTCTTGGTGATAGTGGCGTTGAGGTAGAATTCAGCCACATCCTTGGTGCTGAAGCCTCCATAGGGGTGAGCAACAACCTTGCTCAGTTGGGAATCAGCCATCCCCTGGATGATCTTCGTCATCCTCTTTTGGTTTTCCGCTAAAAGAGGCAGTGCAGACATGTCAACCTTCATGCCTGTAACAATGTTGTTGACGAGGGCTTTCACTTCCTCCTTAGTGAAGTCGTTGACGTTGAGAAAGTTCATTTTCAGATAGTGAGAGGTTTTGAGAATTTCTGGAGATTGAGAGTTCTGGGAGGGTTTGAAAGCTTGAGAGCAAAAGCAGTTTAGAGAGATAAAGTTGCAGTAACGGTTTAGGTTGAAGAAGGTGGGTATAAAAGGCTTTGGGTTAATGGACGTTTGAGATTATTGGCGGTTTCGAGGTTGCATTTAATAAAATGCGGGCGGAAAAACGTTTCTGTTAAAGGAGTGATAATCAGGGGTAAAGAAGTAAAAGACCTGTTCAAGTAATTAGGTCTTGCCCGTACCTCGAAAAATGACTAAGTCCACAACCACTCTGATGGGTTTCTGAAGAGAGTTCCTGTATCAGAGAACGAGGTACTCTGATGGGTGGTTCTCTGGTCCAGAGATAGCAGTTCTGGTCCAGGGCAACTCTGATTCAAGCATCTCTGGGAAGATCATCCATCATTCCCAATTCTTCCCTTAACTTGTTAAACCTTGACTCAGGTAAAGGCTTGATTAGAATGTCTGCTAGCTGATCTTTAGTTGGTACATGCTTCATACAGATATGCTTCTTCTCTACATGATCTCTGATGAAGTGATGTCTGATCTCAATGTGCTTTGTCCTGGAATGAAGCACTGGATTCTGAGTGATTGCAATGGCACTGGTGTTGTCACACAGCAGCTTGATCTCCTTTGTTTGAATTCCATAGTCTTTCAGTTGTTGCTTCATCCACAGAAGTTGAGCACAACAACTCCTAGCTGCAATGTATTTAGCTTCTGCTGTACTTGTTGAGATAGAGTTCTGCTTCTTGCTAAACCAGGAGACAAGTCTCCCACCTAGCAATTGACAATGATCAGAGGTGCTCTTCCTGTCTAACCTGCAACCTATAAAATCTGAGTCAGAGTAACCAATTAATTCAAAGTTACCTCCCTTGGGATACCATAGGCCTGCATTTGGATTTCCTTTGATGTATCTGATGATTCTTTTTGCAGCACTTAGATGGCTCTCCTTGGGCTTTGATTGGTATCTGGCACAAATTCCAACAGAAAAGGATATGTCTGGTCTACTTGCGGTTAGATAGAGAAGAGACCCAATGATTCCTTTGTAGGTTGTTGCATCAACATCTTTTCCTTCATCATCTGGTCCAACTCCCTGAGATGTGTTCATGGGAATCTTTACTGAGGATTTTCCTTCAACTCCAAACTTCTTGATCAGGTCTCTGGTGTATTTCCCTTGGTTGATAAAGATTCCTTCTGGAACTTGTTTCACTTGCAGTCCTTGGAAGTAGCTCAGTTCTCCCATCATACTCATTTCAAATTGACTCTGCATAACTTGAGAGAATTTCTTGCACAATTTTGAATTAGTACTCCCAAATATAATATCATCAACATATATTTGTACTAACAGAATATGATCAGCAACAGAGATTTGAAATAGAGTTTTGTCAACCTTTCCCTAAGTAAACTCATGGTTCACTAAGAATAGGGACAAAGTGTCATACCACGCTCTGGGAGCTTGCTTAAGACCATAGAGGGCCTTTTTAAGCTTGTAGACACAAGAAGATTGAGTAGGAATGACAAAATCTGGTGATTGTTTCACATAAACTTCTTCCTCAAGATCTCTATTCAGGAATGCACTCTTGACATCCATCTGATAGACCTTAATGTTGTTGTAAGCAGCATAGGCTAGGAATATTCTGATGGCTTCAAGTCTGGCAACTGGTGCAAAAGTCTCATCAAAATCAATTCCTTCTTCTTGGCAGTGTCCCTTAGCTACCGGCCTTGCTTTATTCCTTACAATGTTGCCATCTTCATCTGCTTTGTTCTTGAACACCCATTTGGTTCCAGCTTTGGTCTAGGAACAAGTTTCCACACTTTGTTCCTTTCAAATTGAGTAAGTTCTTCTTGCATTGCATTGATCCAGTCTGAGTCTGCAAGAGATTCTTCTACAGTCATAGGTTCCATTTGAGATATGTAGCATGCAAACATTGCATCTCTTCTGTTGTAGCAGATCTGGTTTGTACACCACTTCTGATTTGTTTGATCACTTGGTTTGGGGAATGATCTCTTAACCAAGTTAAATCAGGTTCTGATAAAGGTTGTCTAGGTCTTTCTTGCTCGTCTTCTGAGATTTCATCACTATTTTTGTCTTGCAGGATGGGATTCTGAATGTGAGTTGGTATAGCAGAGTTGATGAACAACTCTGGTATGACCACTTCTGGTGTTACCACTTCTGGTGTGACCACTTATGGTGTTTCTTCAAGGTTCACTTCTCTCAGTTTCTCTGTTAGATTTTTAACAGAGTTGTGATCATCGAACTTGATATGAATAGATTCTTCAACAAGTAGAGTCCTTATGTTGAGTATTCTATAGCTTGAGTAGCCTAAGAACATTCCTTCATCAGCTTTCTCTTGGAACACTTTGAGATGTTCCTTGCCATTGTTGAGTACATAACATTTACATCCAAATGCATGAAAGTAGCTGATGTTGGGTTTTCTTCCTTTCCAAAGTTCATAGGGGGTCTTCTGGTGAGCTTCGTGAATCATGCTCCGATTCTAAGTATAACATGCAGTGTTGATTGCTTCAGCCCAATATCTGCGAGGTAGACCAGATTCAACAATCATGGTCCTTGCAGCTTCCTTCAAGGGTCTATTCCTTCTCTCTGCAACTCCATTCTGTTGAGGAGTTATGGCTGCAGAGAGTTGATGCATTGTTCCATTCTGGTCACATAAGTCCTTTATAACTTTGTTAACGAACTCTGTTCCTTTATCTGATCTGATTTTTTTGACTTTCTGATTTTTTTCATTCTGCAAAAGTTTCAACAGAGATGGTAGCTTATGTAGAGTTTCATTCTTTTTCTTTAGAAAGATTGTCCAAGTGTATCTTGAATAGTCATCCACCATGACTAGAGTGTATCTTTTGCCACTAACACTTGGAGTTTATACTGGTCCAAATAAATCCATGTGGATCAGATTTAGAGGACTTGTTGAAAGATCTCCAGCAATGGGCTTGAAGGAGTTCTTCACTTGTTTTCCTTTCTGGCATGCACTGCACAAATTCTCCTTCTTGTACACAATGTTGGGCAGTCCATCAACAATGTGATCCCTTGCTAGCCTGTTGATTGTTTTGAAATTCAAGTGACTCAGCTTCTTGTGCCATTCCCAGCTGAGTTTTGAATATCCTTTGGCTATCAGGCAGATTCCACCTTTTGCAGTAGACCAATCAACAACGTATATGTTTCTTTTTTCGGTAGCTGTTAGAACCACTTCCTTAGTTGTCTCATGCTTGATAGAACAACCTTCTTTGGAGAACTCAACTGCGTAGCCTTTGTCACAGAATTGGCTAGCACTTAGCAAGTTGAATTTCAGGCCTTTAACATATGAGACATCATCAATGATTATCTGGTTCTTGATCGGCTTGCCTCTTCCTTTTGTTTGACCTTCTTTATCATTGCCACCAAAAGTGACTTTTGGCCCTTTGCATCTCTGGAACTCTGTTAGGCAACTCTTGTCACCTGTCATATGCCTGGAGCATCCACTATCAATATACCAATCTTGCTCAGAGATGGTTCCAGCACACTGTTCCTGCATCAATACAAGGAAGATTTAGGTACCCAAGCAATGTTGGGTTCTAGGGGGTCATGCAGTCTTGGCAGCCGGTACCACTTTGGTCTCATCGAGTGAAACCTTGGTGGGTGGTACCCATTGTCCACCTAGTAATCATAGTAAATAGAAGTGTGATTCACTTTAGGCAGATGCTTGTGAGGATCATGCTTCCTGTTTACGTACTTTTGCATAGCCTTTTTGGTTGGGTAGAAGTCCCATATACTATCAAGAGCAGAGGGATGGTTAGCTTTGTGCTTCTGAAGTTGACCAACCAACCTCTTCTGCCTGAAGTTAACATTCTCTTGATATTTGCCTCTCTGGTGATCATCTCTGGTGAGGTAGTCATGAGGATGTCTGGTCAAGTTTTGTCTTTGATTTCTGTTATTTTGAAAACCTTTTTTGTTGTTAGGTTTTCTGCCAGTTTCATTATTTTTCAAAATTCGTTTGGGTTGAACCTTTATCTTTTGTTTTTATGGTCTCACTTCCTCAAGAACCACCTTGGTACCAGATACACCAGCTTGGCAGATGGGGCTAGAGATCAGTGGCACTATGACCTTATCTGCCTTAGCAACTCTGGCGCTAGGCATTACAGAAGGCTCACCTGATTCTGTTGAGCCATAACCAAGACCAAAACCAACGCCAATCTGTTGGTCAAGTAATAACCTTTCCATTGAAGATTGGGCCTTCTGGTAGGTGTTATACTTGATCTCAACTGACTCTATTTCTCTTACTCTCTTTAGAAGAGAAACATTTTCAGCTTCCAGCTGATTTCTTTCCTTAATGAGAAGATTGAATTTGGTCTCAACCTCCTTTCTTAAGTCAAGAATCTCAACTTTTAGCATACTGTTTTCTTCTTTGACAGAGGAATAAGTGGGTTGGATGGCTTGAAACTCTTCCCAAAATTCAGACATTGAATCTGAATCAAAAGCTTTGCCTACCGAAGAAAAACTAGATGTAGAAGTAGAGGTTACCTCATAATCAGATCAACCCATAAAGCATAGGTCTTCAGTTTCTGTATCCAGGCAAAGTAGAGGTTACCTCATCAGATTCTGATTCTGAGCTGGACTCTGTCTCAGAGAGGGGGTCCTTCTCTGGTTGCTCAGTGATGAGTGCCTTCCTCCTTCTGTGCTCGTACTTCTTCTCTCCTTCTTGGCCTTGTCTCTTGGACACAAGAGGGTGTGGACAATTGGCTTTGAAGTGCCCAGGTTATCTGCAGTTGTAGTAGAGAAGCTCTCCATTTCTTTCTGAAGACTTGGTCTTCTGGTGTGGCTTTCTGCTGGAGGATGGACTTCTGCCATCCTTGGGCTTCATAAACTTCCTGAACTTCGTGGCAAAAGCAGCCATATATTCGTCAGTTAAAAGTATGGAAGGGTCAAAGTTATTTACCTGTGAGGTGCTGGCTGTGAGGGCAATAGTTGTTCTGTCCTCAACTTCTTCTTTATTTTCTTCATTCATCTCGAACTCATAAGACTTGAGATCAGAGATGAGTTTCACAGTGCTGTAGGTCCTGAGATCTTTGTTGTCTCTCATGACAGTGACCTTCATCTTCGAGGGTGAAGGTAGACCTGTGAGAACCTTTAAGTTGATCTCCTTGGGAGTCAGATCCTTCCCAAGTTCTGAAATATCAGCAGTGAGGGTGAGCAGACGTGCATACATCTCAGTTATGCATTCTTTGGGGAGAAGCTTGAAGTCTTCAAACTTCTTCATGGCAATTGTGAGCTTGTTGTCTTTCTCCTACTCATCACCAGCTCCTATAAGGGTAAGAGTATCTCAGATAGCCTTAGCAGAGGTGCACTTCTTGATCCTTGTGAAGTACTTGTCATCAATGGCCTTGTACAAAATGTCGTTGGCTATGTTGTCAAGGTTGTACTTCCTTCTTTCCTCATTTGACCACTCATGGCGAAGCTTAGTGATCATATGGGGTTGACCACTACCAGCAGTGTATTCGGGATTCACCTTGGTGAACTCAGTGAAAGGACGTGCATCTAGGACTTCCCACATTTCATCATGTAGTGCGCAGAGATGGGCCTTCATGCGTACCTTCTAGTCATCAAACTTGGTAACTGAAAACATCAAGTTCTTTGAAAGAGTGTAATCCATAATAGGAGATTAAAAGAGGCTAAAGCAAGTGGATCTCTGTTCAGCAAATAACCTAAAAGATTACAAGAACGAGGATGCTCTGATACCACTTGTTGGTCCCGTTTATAATGGGAACAGTCTAGAGGGGGGTGGATAGACTGCTTCGGTTTTTTCAAACTTTTCTCTGAGTCAACACTGACTTATCAGAGATGGTCTGATTCTGGTGACAGAGAAGGTCAAGTTCTGATGGCAGAACTGGACCTGGCAGCGGATAAAGTTCTGTCCGAGTAGCCTCAGGAAAACACTAAGGCAAATGCCTTTCTGATAACTCTTAGAAGAAGATCTGCTGAACACAGAGTCCAAGTTCTTGGGAGTTATACAGTTAAAGCCTTAAATGCAGAAGTAAATGTGTAAAGTAAATGAAACCGGGGTTTTTATAGTGGTTCAAGGAACAACGTGTTCCTCTAGTCCACTGTTCCACTAAGCTTGCAAAAACAACAATTTACAATGCCTTAGTCCCTAGAGCTTAAGAAGCACTCCCCGTCTTCTTCAAGCCTAGTTGCCACCCGGGATGCAGTCCTGCTTCCTGATGGCTGATCTTGTTTCACTGAGTCTCTTGGAACTATCCCCACTTCACTTACTCCAGTTAGTTTGAGACGTCCCTTCTTTTTCAAGAAGTGTTTGATTCAATATCAGTTTTCTCCAACTTGGCTTCTTCACAAAGGATGTGTAAATGAGGCTTTCGAAGTGTTGAAGAAGTGGAAGAACTTTACTATTGTAGGAAGATGTTTATGAAGTTGATATCTTTCCTACAGTAGGCTTTTCTTGTCGAAGATGATGAAGTTGTAATCTCAGAAAAGCTTGAAGTGTGTTTTAAGATTGTAGCAAAAGTTATCCTGGTAGGTCTTCGAAGTGTATCTTATATACTGGGAGCGGTCTTCCCATTGGAGTGTAGAAGACAGCTTCATTAAATGCTTGTATTGTTGATTTGACCGGTTGGTTCTTCGACTTGCTATTTTGGGGGCGAAAAGATATCCGCATGGTCAATCACCAGCTTTAAATATCTCTTCGTACGTACAACATTAATTGAGCATTTAATGCGTGTACAGTACCATGTTCCGTCGAATGACTCCTGGCCGTTAGGGAATTTCCCGTTAGTTTCACGGCCGTTGGAATGTGCCTTCGAATTCTGCTAAGTAAGAGCAAGTATGATGAGGCTCTCTGGTTCAAACTCTGATGACCGCCTCTAATGCCAAATCTGGTACCCAAATCTGGTACCCAAATCTGGTAGCTTCTCTGATGAGCAATTCTGGGAGCAACTCTGATCAGAAAGATAAAGAGGATCTCTGGCCAGTCGACTATGCTAATACTTACAAAGGAAAATTTATAATACAAAATTGCTAATGGGGTACTTTAAAATTCTAATTAACCTAGCATCATCAAAATCTAAATACATTTATTCCTTACATATTTATATTAAAAAGAGTTTAATGTAAAGTACAATACTAAGTCTCTCATAATTCTATTAAAATGAACATCCACATCCATTATAAGCTCTAATGTAAAACTTCGACTATATAAATCTTATTGTATGGGACATTTAAGAATTCTAGAATAAATAGGTTGCCAATTAACCCAAACTAAATGATGAAATAAGATTCACTGCCAAATGCTTCAACAACTACTCAATGTTAATTAAGACTAAATTAACTACCAAATTTGGACAAAATCAAGCAAACAACAATGAAAATTTCAGATTAAGTTTGAAAAAATGAGTTAAAAATCTTTAAAAACATAATCAGCCATTAATCAATAGATACCCCCATAGGCTGCTAAATTAAGCAAGAGTGACAAACCTGCTACGTTATGCCTGCTAACAGATGAAGAACGAGAGGGACAGAGAGGCATCACTTCTCACTCGACTTGGCACCTTAGCTGTTGGGCTCGATCGGCTTGGTGGTGACACGCGACACTGCGCTGGAGGTGGAGGAGCGAGCGGCTAGGGCAGTTGGACCTTAGCCGTTGGACTCGATTGGTCGGAAGAGTGTCCGATAGGGCTCAAGAGGTGAGGCGGGATGTTGGAGGACCCAACGGTGACTTGCGACGCAGCGCTGGAGGTGGAGGAGAGCGGCGGGCAGTTTGGCTTGGGTCTCTCTTCAGTAGTCTAGGTCTAGCGGTAGGTCTACATGAGAGCGTGTTTAAAAATTTTGAGCGACATTCGGTAAGGGTTAAAACTTAAAATTGGAGCCGACATCAAAACAATTTATTTTATTTAGAATAATGACCCCGCAGTATTGTCAACTATTTATCAATTCAATTCGATATTATGGAGTATTTACTTTCTATCTAATCATTTTTATTTTTTCATTTTTATCCTATTCATTCCTATGTCCCATTTTAGTTTGTCCCAAAATGAAAAAACTCGTTCCCTTCTAGGCATGAAATATGTAGCTCAGGTCATATAATTTTTGCTTTATTGTACTCCAATTTCAACTATAGTACAATTTTTATTTTTCAACCTCTTTATTAATTAACAATTGTGTCAAACTAAAACAAGACATGGAATATGAGAAGGAGGTAGTATCACTTTTATCTTTATCTTATATTTATATTTTTTTTGACAGGAAACTAACATATTATATTAAAATCAAGCTCGCAGTACAATAAGGTAACAAGCAAACAATAAAGTAACCCCTCTATCCCAAAATGACCAAGAGCCCAGCGGTCCTCTCACTTTTGAATCAGACATAGAATAGTCCACCCAAAAAAGAGCGAGACTAATCGCTTAAAATGTGAGAGCTTCGAGACTATTAGCGGCTGAATCAGCCTGATTGCCTCCAATAAGTAATCTATCAACTAAAACAAAACAAAGCGTCATTCTACCACTCTTATTGTTTATCCTAAAAAGAGCAAAATAGAGATAGTAAAATAATCTGGACTGAAAATAAAAAACTGAAAATAGTAAAGCCGTCTTCCAAACCCTATGAAAATAAAAAACTGAAAAATTCAAACTGATATGATCTGGTTTGGTATGTTTAAGTCTGATCTCCACATACAACTTTTACTTTTCAACTACATACCTTGATCACAACTTTTATTTTTTCCACCACTTTATTAATAATTGTGTCAAACTAAAACAAAATTAAACATCCATTATGAGATGAAGGTAGTATTTCTTTTCTTTCTCATAGGTTAGACAATCTCCGAACCGAACCGCTAATTTATTGGTCGAGGTGGCCGCTTTTTTGTATGATTGCCGGGTTTGATTAGTTTCCGTGGATTATATTGTTCATGTTTTGGACCATGACATAGTAAATGAAGTGTGATTATATTCTAAAAATAGATAAGTCTAGTCCTTATAAATATACTCACTCCGTTCTTTTTTAGTTGTAACGGTCAATATTTCATATTTGTCAATGCACGTCTTTGACCGTAATTATATCTTAATTCTATTAGTAAAAAAATATTAAAAAACAGATTTTGAATATTTGTAATGAGATGAATTTAACATTATTTTTTTAAAGAAATAATTTTCATAAAATAATAGTGTAAAACGTAGTCAAAGTAGAACATGTGAATAATGTAAAATTTGTTTTAATTAAAACCGAACTAAGGACATTATTCGTACCAGGCGGCGTGACATTTCTCCAAACAGGTCATTATTCCGTACCGTTGTGGCGGCGTGACATTTCTCCAAACACATGTGGAATTCAGCCTATAAGTACGTACGTTGTAGCACCGGCAAAGCCAAGAAAGCTAACTGCGATCGAATTCCGGTCCCACGATCAAGCTAGCTAGTGGCGTTCATTTCACCGGCGACGATGGAGCGGAAGACGGTTCTGGTGACGAACGACGACGGAGTGGACGCGGCCGGGTTGCGGGCTCTGGTGGGGGTTCTTGTGGCGAGCGGCCGGTTCAACGTGCTGGTCTGCGCTCCTGACTCGGAGAAGTCCGCCGTGAGTCACAGCATCACGTGGCGTCACCCTATCTCCGTCAAAAGGGTTCAAATCGCCGGAGCCACTGCCTTTTCCGTTGCAGGTTAGTACAGTAAATTCAATTCACCATAAATTGACCCTTACGAACCGGAAGTGAATGGCCGGCCGGCCGGTCGGTCTTTTGTTTTAAAAATTTTGCTTCTTGAATTGGGCGGGCTTACGTGGATGCAGGAACTCCAGCAGATTGTGCTTCCCTCGGCATCTCCAAAGCTCTCTTCTCTTCAGTTCCCCATTTGGTAATAATGAATCATTTTGATAATTAGACGATCTTCATATTTTCTCTTCAAAATCAAAACTTATCTAATTCTTCATTTCATTCTCTTGTTCATTCAAAATCAAAATTTATCTCATTGTCCTTAGCACCACAAAAAAATTACGGAATTGACACATATTTGGAAGTTAGGTCAACGTTATGACTCGTGGCGGAGTTAGGAGCACAGATCGGAACGTTGAACCAGCCGGTTGCCACAAGAACTCCGACCAGAGCCTGCAACCCAGCCGCATCCACTCCGTCGTCGTCGTTCTTTAGAGATGATAGTATTTTTAAAAGGTAGATTCTATGGTACCCATAAGGTACCATACCTTCGTCCACGTGGACCAATCAGAATGCTGCAGTTGAATTATTTAACTCTAAATTAAAAATGATATATAATGATTTGGACCAATCAATTGAATGATAAGTACCAGAGGCGGCTCGAGCATTTCGGAGGCCCCAGACGAAAAATATTTATTATGTACAAATCACTTTTAAAATCAGATAAATTGAATAAAAATCACCTTATGAAAAAAGCATATTCAAAGTTCACGATATAATGTTCGTAATATTCAAAAGGATAAATTTTTAAATGCAAACATATGCAAAACACAAGGGCAAACTTATACTTGTAACACCCTATTGGCCTATTATTCATACCTTTTGAAGTGCAAAATCAGTAATAACTTCATAAGTCTCAATTTTAAGCTCAAGTCATATTTACCGGGCGTTGGTTCGAGTTTTGGTATTTTTGGAGTCAAAATCAGGAAATTTGAGTCCGACACCGGCGTTTGAGAAGCAATAGAGATGAGTTGAGAAGCATTTGAGAGTTGATTAGGAGCATTGGAGGTCAGTGAGGTGCTAAAGACAAAGTTTTAAAGACAAAAGAGCTCTAAAATTAGGTACGAGATCAAAAGAAGACGAATAGGGCTTGAAAAGAGCGGTCAGGATGACGTTCTTTCAATCGTTCAAGCATATATTTTCTTAGGAACATTCAAAGAACACCATTCAAGTTTCATATTAAAGCCAACTTCAAGGGCTACAAATCATATAAAAACACCATTGCGAGAATATGAGAGAAGCAAAGTGAAAACAGACGATGAAGTCAGATAAACTCTGTTGAGATTTCAGAATGCGATCTTCCACCATTTTATTCATATATTTTGATTGGATGATTGAAATCCAGTTTTGCAAGTTGTGTTGGATAGAAGACTTCATTAGCTACAACTTTGATGAAGGAAAGACAGTCAGACGTGAACTCTGAAGCCGATTTCTGCTTGCAGTTATCGCTCGATGTATTGGCGGTCTACAAATAACACCTAATACTAATACCGGAGTAGAATTTTTTGGAGGCCCTTTTGGCAGTTGAGGCCCAAGGCAGTTGTCTGACCCAACTGCCCTCAAAGCCGCCACTGAAAGGTACGGTACCCTATTTTTTAAATGAGTACCACAATTGTCACTTTTTTAAAATTCGAATTGACCTGGGGCCAAGGACGCCCCCCTAGCTTCACCAATGACCACATAAACACCGCGAATTTCGTAAGGAAAAAATTTAATGGGACGAACTAAAATGGAGAAATGAGACCACCGACCACATTAACAGCAAGGAGGGACTAGTATTTTGTTTAGAGCTGGCATTTTGAACCGAAAAATAAAAAACCGAAAACAACCGAACCGCTTTAGAAAAAAATCGAACCGGACCGAACCGAACGAAATTGGGTCCCAATAATCGGGACCCGAAAAAAAATTGGTTCGGGTTCGGTTTATGTGCACAAAATATCGGTTCGGACCGAACCGAACCAACATTTTATATTAATAATAATAATTGTTATTTATAATAACAATAGTAATTAATGACGTTTAATGAAGGTATAATACTAAACCGAGTGATGGAGTATATGGCCCGGGAACCCCCGGCCCACAGACTCCTACTACTCCAATAAAGGCCCAACAGGCCCAGAAAGCCCAACAGGCCCAAATCACGGTGCCTAGAGTACCAAGCAGCCCACAATGCGCACCAGCGGTGCCTTCGGCCCCCTGGCCGAAGGCTCTAACTCTCACAGGAGGGCCAAGGCAGCAAAACAAAGTTACTGGGGAAAGCGGTGAAAAACAGTAGCCCTCGGCACCTGGAGCCCTCGGCACCAAGGGAGTCCCCCGTACTCAGAGCCCTCGGTTAGTCCTCTACAGCCGAGGGCACCCTTCCCCGACATAATATCCGCGCCACATGCGTACAGATCGCCGTGCCCTGTACAACGTCCCATCCAACAGCCGCATTAAATGCGGCCACATGCGGTTGTCAGCGCCAACCAGATGAGGTGACCTCTCAGCCAATGGACGCTTGACACGTGTCCCTGTCCGGCATTTATTGCTACTATAAATAGCACCCCTTTTCCCCATTTGTAACCAAGTGATAACACGCTTAAAACGCTCCACACTTTGCAATATACTTTCTCTATATTTACTTGCTCTGACTTCTCTCTTATTACTCCCCGTAATAACCCCTCGGATAAGATACCCCCCGGGTACACTATCCATCATTTGGTGCTCTTGTTGAGAGGTCGAACAATCAAGTAAGAAACCCTCCCCCTTCGCCAAACACTAGCCCTCTACCAAAATGGTGAGAACAACACGTGCCAACTCCAAAAACGTAGAAGAGAAGAACCTGGCCCTCGGCGACGTCAACGCCCCCGAAGCCTCTCACAGGGCTCCCGAGGGCGGTGTCATCGCTGGACTGGAACAGGCGGCTGTCGACCTACTCCTTCAGATCCAGCAGAATGCCCCCGATGCCCGCCTCGGCATCGAGGCCAAGAAGAAAAACCGGAGCGATGACCAAGTCAGCCCTCCGGTTCTCACCATCGACGTTCATTCGGCGCTCTCCGCCTTCATCCAGACGCTCACTCAGAACCAGGGTGCCTTCGGCACCCTGGCTCCGGCTCAACCCCAGATTGGGGAGAACATCACGCTTCCCCCTCTGCCACACCCCTTCAGAAACCCCATCCCTCGGATTGGGAATGACGAAGGGGTAGTGGCCCAAGATACGGCCTCCCAGGAAGTTCAGTCCCGGGACCGCCACAATGACAACAGAGAAAGGCCCCGCACTTCCGCCCTCAACCGGCTCGGAGGGGGGCAAGGCCGCCGAGGGGTCCAAGACCGCCTCGGAGGAAAGGCACTCCAAAGCCCCCAGGAAAGCGGAGGGTCTGTCTCGAGGGCAGACGAGGAGCGTTCTCCTCGGGACAAAGGCAAGGCACCCCTTCTTGCCGACGATGCTCGCCACCAAATCAACCAGGCCCACTCGGCCCGGGTTCGTTCGCAGGGGGCGGAGATTATTGCGGCCCTCCAACACCGACTTGATGAAATGGAGGCCAACAAAGCTCACGCCACCACCTCCACCCCTCATTCAGACCTCAAGTACGAGGCCATGATGGCCAAAATGGAGGAATTACAGAAGAAGGTAGCCGAGGGCTCCGGGGAACCCATCATCCAGCTCCGGACCCGGACGCCATTTACCCCAAGGGTATTGGCGGCCCGGATCCCGGAAAAATACCGAGGGCAACACGTACAGCCCTACAACGGGAAGACGGACCCCCATGAACACTACAACAAATATCAGAACAGCATGATGATGGTAGGGGCGTCGGACGAATATTTGTGTCGTTGGTTCCTCTCCACCTTAGAGGGGCCGGCATACGAATGGTTCAACCGGTTGCCCGAAGGCTGCATTGATTCGTGGCAAGAACTCGCCCAGCGATTCTTGACGCAATTTGCCGGGAGGCGTCGCACGAGGAAGCACTTCTCCCACCTCCTAACCATACGCCAGAGGAGGGATGAGACCCTTCGGGACTTCCTGGAGCGCTGGAGAACGGAAGCCGACAAAGTCGACGGTGCTGACGACGGGACCCTCCTGGCCCTCCTACAAACTGTCCTCCGCACCGGCAACTTTTCAAGGAGCCTCATCATTGAACCCCCGCGACTACATAAGGGCCCTGCAGCGGGGGGACCGATACGCCGAGGCCGGGGAGGTGGAGAAATACCACCAGCATCCAGATCAGCAGCCCTCGAAGGCTGACAACAAGAACAACTGGGGGCCGGGTGTAACACCCTGGCCCCGCAGGACCCAAGGTAGTTAATCCAAACTCTCTGCGCGCCCTGAGAAACTTCCCAGGGGGTCACCCATCCCAAGACTACTCTCGTGCAAGCACGGTTAACTTTGAAGTTCTTGGGTGATGAACTCCCTTAAAAGGAGATGCACCTCTGTTGGTATGAGTAGTACTATTAATCCTCTTAAATTAATCTTGGGTATTACAATCACCCCCACTTAGGAACGCAACGTCCTCGTTGCGCCCATAAACCAATCTCAATCATATCCCAGAATCTTTTCCCCTGCTAAGAGCCTGCCCGATATCCAACAGAACAGCACACTGTCGCAGGGTTGCTCTGATACCACCTGTAACACCCCGGCCCCGCAGGACCCAAGGTAGTTACTCCAAACTCTCTTCGGACCTCTAGTACTGTCCTCACAAACCGCCACTAGCCTTTTCCGCGCACTTTGTCCTCACTCGTGCGCGCCTTGAGAAACTTCCCAGGGGGTCACCCATCCCAAGACTACTCTCGTGCAAGCACGCTTAACTTTGGAGTTCTTGGGGTGATGAGCTCCCTTAAAAGGAGATGCAGCTCTGTTAGTATGAGTAGTACTATTAATCCTCTTAAATTAATTTTGGGTATTACACCGGGGGCTCCTCCAAATCAACCCAAGGCTTCAGGACCCTCTGATGACCGCCCTCGGCAAGGCCAAGCCAAGCCCGGGGGAGGTTATAAGAACAACCCTAAGACTTGGGCACAACCCATTCTCCTGGACCGCCCCCGGACACCATTGACGCACCCCGTCAGCATCATCCTTGATTTTGCCGAGGAGAGGGGCCTCGTTGAGCGCGATTCTCGCGCACCCCCGGAGGTACATGCTATCAACCCCCAGTTCCCCTACTG